AGGGAAAGGAATGTAGCAACAAAGCTCTGGGGCAGGGGTGTGTCAGGCAGTCTTGAGCTAGAAATAGACAGGTGAGGCTGGAGAATCCCAGACAGGTAGAGAGTAGCTTGACCTGGGTGGAGAAGCTGGCAAATCTAGATCATACAGACTTGGAGACTATAGTGAGAAGTTTGAATTATATTCTAGATGTAACAGGAATATATTGAACTATTTAAAGAGAAGAATGACATGATCCTTGATTTGCAAATTGAGAGTCTAGTATTTTCATATTTAATTCAGAAATATAACTGAAAAAACCCACCCTGAGATTCTTCAAATTGTTTACATTTTAGACACTGATAGCAAGGTAAATGAATCCTGAGCTAAGCCACACTATTTAACACCTGCCTGAGTTATTGCCATTTAGATCCTGATATTAGTGTAAGGCTGAACAGACTTAGTTCCCTTTTACACATAAGAACTAAGGCTTATCAGACTTACCAGCATGTATGTTGGCAGTAGGATCTGCCCACCTGGCAAACAAACTGTGATAATGTATGTAGCACTCCTTCCTGGGCACCTAACGAGAATCACTTCTTTGCCTTGGGATGTCAGATCATAAATGACAATAAAATAATTAGAATTTTCCTTGTCAGGCTGTATGTTCCATTGTAAGTATTTTTTAGGCTGAATTTCTTTTAGCATTTTGGGCTTCACTTAAACACTCTTCTTAAATTTATTATATTTAATTTGTACTTGACTGCTGCATTTATATGTAGTATGGCAGAGCACTCTAAATTACTTAAAATAGTCATCCTTAATAGTGGTAGCTTGTCTCATTTGTATTGTGGCATTTAAATGCCATTATTTCATTTCATTGCTTGCTGCCAAGACCAGCAGCAGTGGGGATCTAGGCTCATACCTGAGGTGGATTTATAATTTAAAAGAAATGAGGGGTAAAGACACACTTCCTAGGGTCTGCCTATTTAAAATTAAAGGGTTATTCTCTTTGCTTTCCTTGAAAAATCACAACTTCCATGGCACTTAAGAACCATGACTTGTTATTTTCACTGTCAATTCAGGCAGTAACCTAGTGCATTGTTCTCACATTGTCATGCATCAAAATCCCCTGGAGGGCTTCTTAAACACATTGCTGAGTTCATCTCTAGATTGTATATTTCAGTAGGTCTAAGATGTGGCCTGCAAATTACTTTTCTAGGTAAGACTAATGATACTGGTCTGGAAATCATATTTGTGGAAAGATTTATATGTAATTATCTGGTTGGTTTCTATGATTTCGCAGATGCTTCCTTCTGTATTAAATATGTTGATCTTTTTACATTTTAGACTGAATATTCTGACACTAGAAAATAGTTGACAAATTTTTTTTACTCACAGATAGAAGAGGTCCCACAGTTCCATTTCTCTCGCTCTCTTTCTCTCCTCTCCTCCCCTCCCCACCCCCTCCCTTTGTCCGCCTCCCCCCTGTCCCTCCCCTCCCCTTCCTTCCCCTACCCTCTCCTCTTCATGTGTGTAGGGGAGAATCATAATTTTAAAAAAATCAAAGTTAAAGCAGATTTGAGAGGGGTTTTATGTATCTTTTGGGTGAAGCAGTGTTTTGATCTTTTGTACTTCGGCATCACTGTTAGAACCAACATGATAATGCCTAATAACAACGTCCTATCTCTGGCAGTAAAAGGATGGATGATTCATATCAAATGCGCCGGTACCAGACCGAGGCCTGATCGGGACGCATAGCTGCAGCAAGGAACCCCCAACACTGGGGGGGGGGGGGTGTTGGATGTTATTCTTTTAATAACTACCCATGTAGGATGGAATGATGCATGCAGCTATGCAAATGATTAGATAGCAGCCTTAGAGGGTAGATGATGTGTGTCAGTGAAGGAGGAACAACTCAGAAAAGGAAGATCACTGTTTGCATAACCTGAAGAAAGTGATTATACTCTTAATTTGGTGCTTATTTTACTGTGCATATTGTCAATAACAGGTTTTTATGTTAAAAAATGGATTATTTTTTAAGTCTGTGCTCTTTTAAAAATGTGATTGATACTTTATTATTTCTAAGGCAATTCAACAACAGAGCTCTTCAGAAACTGAGGGAGAAGGCGGCAATACTGCAGATGCAAGCAGTGAGGAAGAAGGTGATAGAGTAGAAGAGGATGGAAAAGGAAAAAGAAAAAATGAAAAAGCAGGCTCAAAACGGAAAAAATCTTACACTTCTAAGGTTATTGACAAGCTTTTGCCATTATTATTAATGTTATGTGCATGTTCATTAAAAGTTACTGGATTGTTTTCATTCCTGTCTAATGTACATAAATATATGACCCATAGCTGACCCTCCAACATGCTTTCAGAGGCTGTAAATCACAAGGGAAGAGATTTCCCATCTTTATTCCTCAGAGCAACTGGCCTTTAGATTGGCAACTCAACTCTTTAGCACTTGGCCACTAGAGCTCCCAATATAATAATGTAGCAGAGACTACAATTAATGACCTTTGATGTGAAAGCAGTCTATTTATTAACTCTTTAGGGATGATTTGGTGGTACATTTTGTTGGAAAATACCACTTTCTCAGTTGGAGAACTGTTCTTTATTTAAGGATGTATGAATATTATGCCTCCTGCATTACCTTCTTAATTAAGGAACGTGGGAGACTAAGTATACGAAGACTGTGGTCTGTGCACTCTAAAGTAAGCATATACTTGTAATCTTTACCTGTCTGCTTGCTTCAAAGTATGTGATTTGGCTCTTTGTTGATTAAGTTCATGTGTTTTCTAATCACTTATTCTATGTCAGGAACTGTACAGATGAGTGAGGGTAAAGACGTGCTACAAATTATCATTGTGTACACAGGAAAATACAGCAGACAAGTGAATAAGCAAGTAATCAGTTCTGAAAAGGCATAGGAAGGAAATTATTGGGATCAGACAGTAACACAGACTTAGAGGTGGGGTATATGCTAAAATAGCATGGTGGCCAGACCATTTGAAATAGTTTATGCTGAGACTTAAGAAAAGGGTGTTGAGGGGTAG